AACCTCCAAAATGGGGCGGGGTCTCCTCGCGCAAAGACTTTCACCATTGGCTCTGGCTCCAGCCAATTGTTATTGACTTACATTTCAAAATAAAACTTTATAAATTAAACATTGTTTCTAGTTCATCTAAAAAAAATATGCTATATAAATAAATATCCTCCGTGAGAGCAGAGCCCAAAGCTCGTGGCCAGTGGTGCTCGGACTGGAGTTTGAACCTCTGCGTAATGATATAAACGCGAATTACCCACGAGCCGTCTCAGTGCAGCGCAGCGCAGATTTTACTCTATCGCTTTGTTCTAAGCAACGGGGGTGTCCCGGGGCTCGAAATTCGCAGGGTAGGAGGGGGTAGTGACGCTGGGTGTAACTAAAAAGGTGCCATTATCCGGTGAGGTCCGGTTGGGGAGTTACGGAACGATCTCATATCGCATAATCTTATTAACCGTTTATCTCCTGAACTGCAACTTTCTTTACCACACAGCGCCAATCCCTCCGTGCAGTCAATTTCGCTGGGTAAGGTTAGGGTCAGGTGTGGGGTAGGTTTAGGGGTTAGCATTTTTTGTAGCATAGTGTAGGAAATCAACACTTTAATTGACACAACCAATAAAATCTTTAGAATCAGCTGTGGGGTGGAGTTTGCACTGAAGTGGATTGGGGGGAAAAATTGCGCATGCGTGTCATGTGCCTGTCTGTCAATGGGAGGAAGCCACGCCCTATTTTGGAGCTCCCACCCCGTTTTGGAGTTCCCGCCCCCATTTGGAGATCTCCAGGCTGCAGTTATACCCTTCTCAAACAAAGCGAAAACTGGAGGCGGCCCATTCAAACCAGCGCAGATTCGGCTACATAAGGAGCTTAAAATATTTTACAGCAGAAAAAAACATGTTTACAGCCTGGTTCAAAAAATGATTTTGGTCTATATAGCTAATTTTGCCCTTCATGACAATTGTGAGGGGGGTGAATTTTTTTATAACTCATCCGTTTAAATTATATTAAACCTTAAAGTTCTGCATAATTAAGGGCGTGGCCACTTGAGTGACAGGTGGATTGCCGCTGCTGTCACAACCATCGAGCTAGGTGGGCATGGTTTCAGCAACCAGCTCCCGCCTCTTTGCCCATTTTCGATTATCCGGGAGTGACGCGCGGCCAAGATGGCGACGGCCGGCTCCGCCCACTTTTGAGCTTCAAAAACGCTCTTCGGAACCCTACGGGAGACGTCACGGACACTACATCCATGTTTTTATACAGTCTATGGTTTTGTCACATATTTTAGCCCAAATGTCATAGAACAGAGACAGGATTCAACAATTAAATCAGCTCCCAGAAAAAAAAAAGAGAGCTTGTCTTTGTGTGCATGACACGAGCAGACAGGTAGTCAAGGGACGTTTTTGCTGGATGTTCCTCTGATTTGCATTTATTTGATTTACATTGGCAGTCCTGAATGAGGCTGGAACAGACTTTGAATATTGATTTGCATTGGCAGAGAAAAGGCCACCCATCAACCTCAACTCCATGAACCCTCAAGACCCATGAAAATCCTGCCATAAAAACAATTCATTCATTTTCTCAATGCACCGATTCAAAATCCTGACAAAGCAACTACATGCATCTTGAAATGTGCCTGCAAATAATGCAATTCAAGATTGAAAACAACAGCTGATCGCTAAATTAACTGAACACTGGCTAAGTTTACTAAACAAGGAACCCATGTTTCTTTATTTAAAACATGTGACTTCCTCTATGCAAAGTGAGTCATAGACACTTCCTGTTTCACAGAGAAAGCACAAGTCATTTAGACCCTTACATGGTGATTAAATGTGATCAACCTGCCTGGACTGAATCATGTATAAAAATCACAAGACACGATCAGTATGAAAGAATGTGTGAAATAAAAATTCCTGTCGGTGTCTGCAACTTCACACTGCATATGTGACCACAGGAAACCTGAACTCTATTTTCGAAACAGACGAGAATTACAATTTATACACTACAAACGTCACAAAAACCAGCTGCAATCTTGCAATCTACTAGTCAAATCACTCAGCAAGTATGCGACTACTCTAAATTGACAGCAAAAACATGTCCAGATCATATCTCACCCAAAAGCAAACCATTTTAATAATACACTAACATTTAAAAGCCTGGGGTCATTTTTAAAAAGAAATTAATACTTTTAGTTAGTAAGGATGTATTAAATTTATCAAAGTGACATTAAATACATTTATAATGATACAAAGAATTCTATTTCAAATAAATGCTATTCTTTTGAACTTTTTTTTTAAAGAATTCTCTTCTGCTCACCAAGCCTGCATTTATTTGATCCAAAATACAGCAAAAGCAGTAATATTGTGATTTTTTTTTTTTACTATTTAAAATAACTGCTTTCTATTTGAATGTATTTTAAAATGTAATTTATTTCTGTGATGACAAAGCTGATTTTTTTAGCATCATTACTCCAGTCTTCAGTGTCACATGATCCTTCAGAAATCATTTTGAAAAAAAAAAAAGAACATTTATTATTATTATTATGTTGAAAACAGCCGAGTAGAAATTTTTTCAGGTTTCTTTGATGAATATAAAGTTCAGAAGAACAGCATTTATCTGAAATAGAAACCTTTTGTAACATTATAAATGTCTTTATCATCACTTTTGATCAATTTACAGCATCCTTTCTTTAAAAAAAAGTATTATTTTCTATAATTTAAAAAAAAAAATATAGACTCCAAACTTTTGACTGGTATAGTGTATAATGTTACAAAAGCTTTTTATTTCAGATAAATGCTGATCTTTGGATCTTTCTATTCATCAAGGAATCCTGAAAAAAATGTACTCAACTGTTTTCAATTTTAATAATAATAATAATAAATTTTTGAGCAGTAAATCAGAACATAGAATGATTTCTGAAGGATCATGTGACACTGAAGACTGGAGTAATGATGCTGAAAAGTCAGATTTTTA